GTGTGTGTGTGTGTGTGTGTGTGTGTGTGTGTGTGTGTGTGTGTGTGTGTGTGTGTGTGTGTGTGTGTGTGTGTGTGTGTGTGTGGGTGGTTGCAGCGAAAGTCGCAGTCGCAGTAGCAGCAGCAGTAGTAGCAGCAGTGGTGGTGGTGGTGATCGTGTAGCTGACATTGTGCACAAGCGAGGTCGCTTTGATTGATTGGATTGGTTGATAGCTCAGGGGTTCATGTGTTCATGTGTTCTCATGTGTTCATGTGTTCATGAGTCTGTTGAACGAGAGGGCGTGGCGAATTCTTCCACGTGCATGTGATCATCGTATTTGTTTGTGCTGGCGCAGTGCATGTATCAGATGCGATTGCATGTGTGCGTGGGTTTGATCATGCAGACGAACAAACGCAACACGCGTGACGCGTGTTGAACACGAAGCAATGTGCACGCACACAAACACACGTCAACATGAAACGAGAAACGCACAGCGCACACGCGCACGCGTACGCTGGTATTGGGGGGAGAGAGAGAGAGAGAGAGCTAAACGAAGAAAGCAAGTTGGTTTTGACGAGAGCTGAAAAAAAAAAAAAGATAAAGAAAGAGGGCAAGGGGGCGGGTGGGACAAACACATGGGCAACACCCACGACAAACGCAACGCAGCGGCCATCAATCAAAAGTCACGCCGATAGCGAGAATGCAAACCAACACAAGCAAACAAGCAAGACAACAGGAGCACAGGAGAGACAGGAGCAATGACAGAACAAGACCAAGGCAAAAAAGAAAGAATACACGCGCACAATAAACTGATCCGCCGTTGTTTAGGAGACGCACACACACACACACATACACACACGCAACAAACACACTGATAAAAGCAATTAGCTACAGCAAATTAGGAAGGAAGCGAACCACAATCACGTCGCGTCATGATCACACACCGTCAGTGTGTGAGTGTGTGTGGAAATGTGAGGGCAGCGCTCTGCCATCACGATGTTGCGCCCGCATCGAGTTGCATCTGTTGATCTGCGAGCAGCGCGTATTCATTCTCCATTGTACAGCCGAGCTCCTGCCGCGCATGCATCATGTTGTACATGCACTGTTGGTGGCGATGCGAGGGGGGGGGGGGGTTGAGTTGGGTGAGAGGGAGCACGTTGAATGTGTTGAATGTGTTGAAGGTGTTGAATGTGTTGAATGTGTGGAGACATTGCACCAGCTTCAAACAACGCAGTCAGCGCACAACAAAATGGTCAGCACACAACCAACGCACATCCATCATCGTCATAACAACAACAACAACAACAACAACAACAACAACAACAACAACAACAACAACAACAACAACAACAACAACAACAACAAGAACAAGAACAATAACAATGTCCTCCCATCATCATCATCATCATCATCATCATCATCATCATCATCATCATCATCATCATCATCATCATCGTTACCAGGTAGTGTGCGTATGCCGCGAGAATGACAAAGATGTGCCAGAGCTGATGACTGTGGAACTGTTCGTGGCGGTGGTGGAAATGGTGTGATGGCGGGGGTGGAAATGGTGTGATGGCGGGGGTGAGAGAGCAGCGAGCACCGGGCAGCCAGTGCGATATGAGCGGAAGCAGACACAGACACACACACACACATGCAGAGGCAGATGGGCAGGCAGGTAGACAGCCATACAGACGCACACAGACACAGACAATCAGGTACACACACACACACACAGACAGACAGACAGACAGCCACAACATAACACGATGGCTTCGTACCCAGATGTCGAATCTGCCGGGGAAGAAGCGCTCTGGGAACTTGAAGACAAACACGACGCTCCCGATCAGATACAGCGGCACAGACACGGCAAACAACCTGATGACGGGTGGCGGTAATGATGGTGGTGGTGGCGTGAGAGGAGGAATGAATGAGGTATGGTGTGTGCATGAGAACACAGTGAAGACAGTGCACATCGCTTGTGGTGTCCATGAATCCCTTCACTGACCATCACAGACAGACAGGCGCATACACACACACACACACACACACACACACACACACACACACACACACACACACAACAGATACAAACACAGACACACAGAAACAGACACACAGACACACAGACACACAGACACGGGGACACGAGCCCCCAACCCCTCCCCCCTTCCAACGGACCAGATGACGTCGACGATGGCGAGGTAGTGGTCGACGCCGTACAGCGCGAGGAAATGCATCTGTGGTAGAAACGACGTGGCGCCGAGCGCAATGAAGAACAACACGCGGATGTGTTTCTTGTCGGGGCCTTCAAGCATTTGCCTGCAAGCACAGTGATGTGACAGGGGCGGTGGTGATGGTATGGTGAAATGATTGTCGAGGGAAGACGAAGATGTACACATACAAAGGGGATGGCGTGCAGAAAAAAGAAAGAAAAAGAGAACAACCAGATAGACGCACAGACACGGACACGGACACGGACACGGACACAGACACAGACACAGACACAGACTCACAGACTCACACACACACACACACACACACACACACACACACACACACACACACACACACACACACACACACACACACACACACACACACACACGCAAACTCAAACACACGCGCACGCAAACTCACACACAATTCAGGAGTTTGATCCCCAGGCGGCGAGAAGGCCAAAAAAACCGGGGAAACCAAGGTAGAACACGTCAAGTTCTTAGCCGCCCTTGAAGGCAAGGTGTTGCCCTGCCTTGGGGAATCCCAAAACCACCGCCGGGAGCCCAGAAAAGTCCACCCGGAGTGGGGGGGGGGGGTGAGGGAAGGAAGAACCAATTATGGCAATGAACAGGGCGGCGCCAGGCCCCTTGAAACACAACACACCAACACACACACACACCATCACCATCAAACACCACCACTGACAAACACCATCACCACATGATCGCCGCCATCAGGAGGTTACATCCCTTGTGTCGCGGTCGTCGCGCGTGTGCGCTTCTGATCTCGAATCTCCATCCCGCCGCCCGAACCTGTTCCAGACCATTGGCGCCGAAGTCATTCGCTCATTCCTCTGATGACAGACGACGTGTGTGTGTGTGTGTGTGTGTGTGTGTGTGTGTGTGTGTGTGTGTGTGTGTGTGTGTGTGTATGTGTGTGTGGGTGAGATAGTGAACTTAACAGTAATCAACCAGCAACCCCTCTCCGCATCTCGCTGATGTTAAATCATGTCTTTTTGAAGGAATCTTGGAACCATGTTCTAAAGACAAGAAGATGAGAGAACAGGTGAAAGAGGCGTGACGTAGTTTATGGATTGGACGATTAGTGATGTCTTAATTCTCGTATGAGAATGAACAATGGCTGGGGTGTCCCTACCACCAGCGCCCCAGTGATTACTGCTACGCAAAAGGGCCAGAGATCAGCAGAGTATCAATGTGAGGGCGGGGGGCTCCTAGGATATGGCGAGACACAGAGTACTGGGATAGACGAATTTGGTGTGTGAGAAAATAGCGTGGAGAGAGTGATGGTTGCGAGTGGGATCA